GAGTTGGGGCCGGGGCCAGAGGCAGAGATAAAACACAGCAACCAAAAGTTCATAATTGTTAGAGCTGGCAACAGGTGCCCAGGGATTCATTCCACCCTGCTGTCTGCTTGCGTATGCTTTTAAACTTTTCCATAATAAAAAGATAAAAATCAAAATTATTTAGCAATAAAAAGGAATGGAGTACTGATACGTGTCACAGCATGGAAGAACCTTGAAAACCTGATGCTAAGTGAAAGCAGCCAGTCACAAGCAATCACATATTGAATGATTTCACTTATACGAAATGTCCAGAATAGGCAAATCCATAGAGGCAGGAAGTAGATTAGTGGTTGCCCGGGTGGGGGTAGGGGTGGAGCTGATGGCTACGGGGTACAAGTTGGGCTACTGAAAATGTTCTAAAATTAATTGTGATGACAGGTGCACAACTCTGGGAATATGCTGAAACCCACTGAATTGTATACTTTAAACAGGTGACGGTATGGTATGGGAATCATATCTCAATAAAGCTGTCAAATTTTATTTTAAAGCTGAACAAAAGCAAAAATTGTACATCTCCTTGGACCTGGCATTTCATTTCTAAGAATTGATCCTACAGATCTGCTCACGCATGAGCACAAGGGCCTAACTAGCATATTCACAGCACTCTTTCTTTTTCTTTCTTCCCTTTTTTTTTTTTTTTAATCATTCCAGTAACAAAAGAATGGAAGCAACCTGTATTAGTCCATTTTGTGTTGCTATAACAGAATTACCTGAGACTGGGTAATTTATAAAGGAAAGAGGTTTATTTGGCTCAGGATTCTGGGACAGCTGCGTCTGGCACGGGCCTCAGGCTGTTTCTACTCATGGTGGAAAGTGGCAGGGAGCTGGTGGGTACAAGCAGACCACATGGCAAGAGGTAGCGAGAGAGAGAGAAGGTGCCAGGGTCCTTTAAACAACCAGCTCTCATGGGAACTAATAGAGCGAGAACTCACTCACTACCCCTCCTCCCCCAGGGAGAGCGTTAATCCTTTCATGAGGGATCCGCCCCCACGACTCAATCAGTTTCCAGCACTGCCACATTGGGGATCAAACTTCCACATGAGTTTTGGAGGGGACAACACATCCAAACTCCATCACAACCTAAGGGTATGTCTGCAAGGGATTGGTTGAAAGAATCATAGTTCATCTAAACAATAAAATGTTATGCAGCTGCAAAAAGGACTGAGGGACATCTATATGTACTGAAGCAGAATTATGACTAAAACATACCACTGGTGGAAAAGATGTGGAAAAAAGCACCCTACAATGGGAGAGATGAGCTGAGTCCTGAGTACACTTAGTATTGCCCATAACAGACCAACCTGGGCCAGATGTGCCAGGTGTTAATCTGTTAGTTGCTATATCTGGAAAGTCCAGGGGCATCCCAGGTGGAAGGTCAGGGAGCTAGGGGTCCCGCCTGTAGCAAATAATGTCCAGGAACTTTTTATTTCAGTAGAGAACTAGCTTCACATTTTTATCATCAGCATGGCTGAACATCAGCCCTGGGGCTAAAGAATATCT